AACTAATTAGGTGATGAGATGACTGTTAACACAACAATTACCTACGTTTGTTTAATGGCTACTTTTAAATAAATTGATAAAGAAAAATTCAAAAGAATAATTAATTTTATACAAATCTTTTGCATATCATTGTTTAAGACTTACATGAAATAACAAATATTTTAATTTTATATTAATATATAATTGATATTTTTTATTATTTTAACAATTATTTTTTTGATAAAAATAATTGATATCAAGTTAATGACATTATTTCCATGTGACTTATTTTTTATGAAAGTACTAATGAAAATATTATTCTCAAGGATGAGCATAGTATAGTTTATATTATAGTTTATATATAAGTTACTTAGTATGAATTCTTTTGTAACAATTGTGTGTTTTATTTTGAGTAACCAACCATATCTTTTATCATCACCTATTAAACCATTTTTCAATGCAACAAAAATTAAAAAAAAATGTATATTACAGAACTTTAATTGCTTATCTACAACAGATAAACATACTTCAATATAAATAATCTATCCTGATATGGCTATTAAAAATGGAAATACATTTGTTAACTTTCCTAAAAAATATCTAAAAAAATGGGAGTGAAACGTCCATACAATTGACAAATTGGGAGTGAAACGTCTAGGTGTGAAACGTCTTGGGAGTGAAACGTCTCAATAGTGAAATGTCTTGGGGAGGGGTGCATAGAAAAACCAGAAAGCACCGGATAGCACCGAAATACCGGAAAGCACTCAAATTTCTCATAAAAACATATGAAAACTTTATTTTATCGGTTTGAAAGCGTTACCAATCGATTTATTAGATAAAAATCTTTCAGACAAGTCATATTTGTAAATATATATTGATAATTATTACGAGTATTTAGGAAAATAGATATATCGATTGCTTTCCGGTCCTGCTAAGCTACATGTACATTACCGAATAGCAATATTTTTTGTCAAAGTTATACATGAAAACATTATTTTATTGGTTTGAAAGTCTTTTCAATCGATTTATTAGGTCAAAATCTTTCAGACAACATGTTTTTATCATTATAATATGATTATTATTACGATTATTTAAGAAAATAGATATATCGAGTGCTTTCCGGTCCTGCTAAGGTACATGTACTTTACCGAATAGCAATATAGTTAATCAAAGTAATACATGAAAACTTTATTTTATTGGTTTGAAAGTATTACCAATCGATTTATTAGATCAAAATCTGTCAGACAAGACATTTTTATAAATTTTTATTGATTATTATTACGATTATTTAGGAAAATAAATATATCGAGTGCTTTCCGGTCCAGTGAAGTTACATATACTTTACCGAATAGCAATATAATTTCTCAAAAAATCACATCAGATCTTTGTTTTATTGTATTGTAAGTGTTACCAATCGATTTATTAGGTATGATACAGTATGATTTCATGTTTTATTCTTAATTCTATGATTATTTAAAAGATTTATGAATGTTAAAGAAATAGAGAATGCTTTCCGGTTCTGTTAAGTACATCTACATTACCGAATAGCACTCGAATTTACCATACAAAACGTATAACCTTCATTGTATTGAATTGAAAACGTTACCAATCGATTTATTAGGAAAAACATCTCCCTGACATTATTTTTTTATAATTATTATTACGAATAAAATAGATTAAAATAGATATTGAAATAGATATATCGAGTGCTTTCCGGTCCTTCACATTCTATTATTGCTTTAAAATAATACATCACCGAAACTTACCTCAGACATACCGATGGTATGTAAATATTTAAAATCTATATACCTTGTCTAATTTATTTATATATGTTCATTTGTTGTAGGCTATGTGGAGGACAAGAGGATTCAAAATCGCATGAAGAGAAGAACAATAATTGTTTCAGTGTTGTTTTTTTTTATTTTTGACAATAAACAGTGCAATAACTAAAAATAAACGAAACTAATTACTAAGAACAAAATAAACAAATATAAAACAGAACTTAGCAAACATATATACATACATAATTGAAAAATAAATATGATATTGACATCAATCAAGGCACACTTCACGCCTTGTTTATTCCACGGACACACGCTGATTAAATTAAACGGACACACGCTGATTAAATTATCACATTTATACAGGTGTTAATTTATTTACACAATAGCTGGATGTATTTAACTGATTGAGATATTATGATATTGAGATGTCATTTAAACTTAAAATTTAATGTAATGTACATTGATATTGATACTTATTTGTAATATTTATGTTCACTATATTTTTTCATCCTAAATTTTCAGGCAATTTGAAGAAGAAAAATGTTTGCAACGTATGTATTAAAAATTTGCAATTCCAGATGTCATGTCAATGTCATCGGTCATAGATAAATATCAATGCATAATATATTGTGTTGTAGTATATAAGTTCGAGTATGGGCTAGACTATAGCCTGATAAGCATAAATGACATCTTAAGGCACACTCGAACTTACTAATGCGGTCATCTATAATATATCTATGCATTGATATTTAGACGAGGAACTAAGCACGTGTTTGTATGTGAGATATTGACACGGCATGCACAAATATCAGTGCAAACTACGCAGAGTTTTGTGTAGCTTAAAAACATAAAACGTTTTGTTGATAAAACGGCCCTTTTAAGGGCCCAACATATATTACGAAAGAAATCCAGATTTATATTGCACGGAATGCACAACACTTACATAGATATACTAAATTTCTATCCAACCATGACTTAATGTCACTTAAATTTGTACAAATACAATGCAACCAGTTCTTACAATTTGAACACTGAATTATATCATCACTACATTCTAATGTAGGATTAATGCAACTTTGATGTGCATGTCGGTACTGATTAAATCATCACCTTTAGGTGCTACAATATACAAGGTCTTTAATCAGCATGGATTAGCACGTGTGATAAACAATACAACAACCACTGTCCTCCACTGATGACCACATTGCTTTTCGGTACACATAATATTGTCAAAATAAAGATATAACTGAACGAAAATGTATATAAGTTTTTCTTTATGTTACATAATATAACAATATAATTATAAAAAATAGGGATCAATGCTTTGAAGAACTTCTTTGTACTTTTTACACATCATCTTTCTGTCTTTCACACAACCTATAAAATTTTAGAATATGATACAATGATATATGGTATGAGCAAGATTGAAAAATCGTGTAACTAATCATAATATTTTTAAATAAAATCAGTTCACCTTAATAAATCAATTTCTAACACTTTCACATAATTAATATGAAGGATTAGTGTGAATTATATAAATATTCGAGTGCTATTCGGTAAAGTAGATGTACTTTAGCATTACCGGAAAGCAATCAATATTTGTAGCAACTTTGAAAATCGAGTAGTTAAACATTAAATATTTATAAAAACGTCATGATATACAGATCTTCACCTAATAAATAGACTGGAACACTTTCGAACTAAAAAAATACAGTTTTCATGAATTACTTGGATAAACAATATTGCTATTCGGTAATGTACATGTATCTTAGCAGGACCGGAAAGCACTCGATATATCTATTTTCTTAAATACTCGTAATAATTATCAATATATATATTTATAAAAACATGTTGTCTGAAAGATTTTGACCTAATAAATCGGTTAGTAACACTTTCAAACCAATAAAATAAAGTTTTCATGTATTACTTTGATAAACAATATTGCTATTCGGTAAAGTATATGTAACTTCACAGGACCGGAAAGCACTCGATATATGTATTTTCCTAAATAATCGTAATAATAATCATATTATAATTATAAAAACATGTTGTCTGAAAGATTTTGACCTAATAAATCGATTGAAAACACTTTCAAACTAAAAAAATAAAGTTTTCATGTATTACTTTGATAAACTATATTGCTATTCGGTAAAGTACATTGTACCTTAGCAGGACCGGAAAGCACTCGATATATCTATTTTCTTAAATAATCGTAATAATAATCATATTATAATTATAAAAACATGTTGTCTGAAAGATTTTGACCTAAAAAATCGATTGAAAACACTTTCAAACCAATAAAATAATGTTTTCATGTATAACTTTGATAAACAATATTGCTATTCGGTAATGTACATGTATCTTAGCAGGACCGGAAAGCAATCGATATATAGAGGATATTTGTTTAGTTCAGTGTAAGATCGGAATATATTTCACCGAGTGAGCACCAAAAGGTATATTTCACGAGTGGCGCAGCCACGAGTGAAATATGAACTTTTGGTGTTCACAAGGTGAAATATATTTCGATCTTACACTAAACTAAACAAATTTTCTTTTTATTATATGCAAAGAAACGTTTTAAAAGACATTTAACCTAATACTGAATGAAAAGCGCGCCAAATAATAATACAACGTGACGTCATTTACGACGTCACGTCATTAAGTTGGTACCCAGTTCTGTGCACGCTGGTGTTTCACTGAAACAACGTAAGGGGCTTAAATTCTAAACAGTGAAATTATCAAAGTGGTAATTTCACTGTTTCAAACAGTGAAATTACCAGTTTTATATCACTGATATATTTCTATAAACCACCGAAAAGCATGTAATAAATCTATTTTCCTAAATACTCGTAATAATTATCAATATATATTTATAGAAATGACTTGGCTGAAAGATTTTGATCTAATAAATCGATTGGTAACACTTTCAAACCGATAAAATAAAGCTTTCATATGTTTTTATGAGAAATTTGAGTGCTTTCCGGTATTTCGGTGCTATCCGGTGCTTTCCGGTTTTTCTATGCACCGCTTGGGGAGTGCAACGACCGACATTCTTCTGACTTCATATCAATGTAAATAACACAATTTCTGAACATTCTGTGAATCGTGCGCCTGTGTAAGTAACTAAATGTTTTGATTGGTAACATGAGGGTTCTTTTAAATATGAATATTTCATTAAAATTTACGAGAAAAACATTAACTGAACGATAATAAGCTAAATAAAATAAATTTGTTTACCTGGAAAAAAAATTGTTGTTGTTCTAAAGCGGTTACCAGGTAAAAATATTCGCGTGCAATTTATTCAATACATTAAAAACCCGAAAAAGAATTTATTTTCCAGAAAAACGGAATTTAGGCCTACCACCAGAACGGCTTGTTACAGTTTATCCTAATGCTACAAGCCTTAAGAAAATGTCACAAATATAAGCAACGTCGGTCTTCTTATTCAAGTAGGACTATTTTCTATACTGTACCCTACTGGAATGATGTGCAAACTGAGGGGGAAATATTTCATATCTTGTTCTTTTCTTAACTTGTCTGCAAAATCTTTCTTTATTTAACTTGTCTGCAAACTTCAATTTTAATTATGTCTGCTAAAGACGGATTTTCATTATTTTCACCAATTATTTCATATTTTGTTCTTTAAGTAACTTGTCTGTATAATTCAATCAATATTCTTTCTGCGAACTTCAGATTAACCACGGATTTATATTACTATATGTAATATAAATCCGTGTTGTAATATAAATCCGTGGATTAACTTAGCATTCCAAATTGTGTTCTTTTTAAATTGATATGAATTTGTAAATACTACCACTTTCAAGTACTAATTAAATCAGTACGTACCTTTCATTCACACCTTATGACAAGAGATTTAACAGCCCCCTATAATCTATATAATATATTGTCTGCAAAATCCGTCTATGTTAAACATGTTTGCAAAATCTGTCTGCAAAGTATACCGACCCTTTCAAGAGGCAGTAGGGCTATTAGATATTTTTCTGTTAGCTGGTTGAATGGAACTAATTAAATCTAAAACAATGCAACAGTTTCAATATAGCAATGCGTAAAAACAAATATATTCATGAAAAAAATTATTTACAGTATGCATACATAAATTCCATATTAAACCAATCATGTAAACTTATTTATTTAGAATTAAATAGAAACGTTGAGTAGGATTAGAAAACAAGTCATAATTATATTAAAGTGCACACCTTTAAAACTAAAATTTAACTAACTGTTTAAAATGACCATAATTTTATCAAAATCTAACGATTGATCACGATCATTTTTCAACGACTTTTTGATCATAATTTGATGTTGAATTGTTTGCAGGGTCAATTCTCAACGTTGAAAAATGACCCAGTGTCAGATCTCAACACTGAAAAATAACCATTGGAGTAATTTTCAACAGGGTGAAAATTTAATGTAACGGCGGTGCTAATCGTTTTTATGCCGGTGTAAAACAGATATCTAATTTACAAATTATCATCTATTTTTCGATTTTTGGAAATTTAAATTTTACTTTTAATTGAGATACTTCTTTAATATAATTACCTAAAACATTAAATACTGCCCATCTGTTCGCAATGACGATTTAATAATTGAACAGGACGAAATCGCCGGCATATTTCTTTTTCTTTTTTTTTAAAATGTACTTATAATTCATTATTTCGATAATATTCTTAGTTCAATCTCAATATAATTTTAAGATACCAATAAAGCATATTCAAAGACGATCAAACGGGCTATACAAACCTCCCAAAATGTGGACAAACTTTGTTTAAATTTCGGGAAAAAATATTTATTTATTAAATATTCAATAATGTTATATTCGACAGTAGAATATTACACTTTTATTTCTTGTATAATTTATTTATTTTTGTCGATCAGTTTTCAAATACCGGTGTATTGAACTAGAAAATAATCGTTGCAGTAACGTATGGTTGTCTCAATTTGGACTTTTTAATGTCACTCGTATATTATTGGAATTTAGTATTAAGACTCATTTTGAATGCCATTTAAAAAAAATTTCAAATGTTAAGAAGATAATTATAGTAGATTTTAAAGGTAATGATCAATAACTAAAAGCCTATACAGTTTAGGCCAGCTAGTGTATATATTTTTTCTGTGGAATAAAAGTTTATTATATTTCTTTAGTCATCGCTTAAATTTCTTCGAAGTTTTAATGCTAATGAGCGTTAATTTCCAGGTAACAAGTGATAATATAAAAACTGAATTTTCAAACATTCATTTCCAGAACAAGTGGTAATTGCAATATTTAATTTTCAAACATACAATCCTATATCATGCTTTTATTATGTATCACAATCATTTTATTTCTTTAATCTTACCTAAAATATTTAAAAAATCAGCTGTCATTTTTAAACTTTGCGACGTAACTTAATGTAACTTAATGTATGATCAATAAGAAACAAATAAAGATTATGGAAAACATTAATCAGCTACGGTTATGATTTTTTTTTTCAAACAGATGTGGGCAAACATTAAAGGTCATTTCGTTAATAAATATTCCTTTCGGATAACTCATTCGGAATGCATCGCCGAAATATGACGGAAAAGACCAAGAAGATGCGAACTAGAACGGCTATTATCCATAATAATCCGAAGACTGACGGAAAGGGCCGAGTAGTTGCGATTGCTAGAACGGAAGTAACCGAACCGTAGTATCGACCTTGACCCTCAAAAGCAAAACACTGAAGTATCAGTGAAAGAAATGTGAAATGGCAACAAGAGTTGTTGGTGCCACTATTCGGGCAGTCTCGAAGAAAAGGACGATGATCCCGACAAAAGCACCACTTATTTTGGTATGAAATTTCTCAGTTAAACAATGATTTGCATAAAAATGCCATTTGTCACGTTCAAACTCTTGCGTAATAGATTGTCATTGTGGCCATCCAATGGGTGGGGTATTTATACAAAATTTAGTTAAGACAGTAGATTTTCATTTATGTAATCATTTTCTCGAGATACAGTCCACATTGTAAGCAAAAATATCTACATAAAACTTTGTGACTAAGGCGCACTCCCCTCACCGTCGTATTAAAGCCAGATTTTGGTTAAGGTCTTCAGCGTACCCGTTTATATACTAGGAAGTGGCTAGCCGTACGGGCCCGTACGGCTAGCCAAAAGCTCTAGCCGTACGTGAGTCACGTACGACTAGCCAGGACACACTGTATTGGCTAGCCGTACGGCACTTTTCAAAAATATATGGAAGGCGAAAGTGCATTTGTTAATTATGACTTTAAGCGAGGATTTTAGTCAAGAATGTTTACTTTTAGAGATTAATCGACGTGTTGGCTACAGTAAAGAATGTACGTACTTTGTCATCTCAAGACGTCGAGAAAAAATAGCGTTTGGTTGCAATTAAATAATATCAATTGAAATAGTTAACAAAATTTTGATAATAATCATTTTTTGTTTCATTAAGTTTAATTTTAAAATTGAAAAAAAAAAACAAAAAAAAAAAAAAAAACAAACAAAAAAAAAAAAACACCGAAAATAATTGTTGTCGGTCTCTGATAATTGCGTCAAATACCGACGGTATAGAAGTTTGTCCATCGTCCATCATGAAGGAAAGTTTGCATTATTAAATTATTTTTCCTTTTCACCGTTTTTATTTTATTCCCCTCCGATCATTATTTATTCGATCCATGTGCTTAATTAACAGATTTAACAATTCATCTTTCATACAAATCATAAGCATGAAAATTAAGGACGTTATAACATGCAACTTTGACACTTAATTTTATTAAGAAAGATTATACAACGCTTACTCGAATTCATTTTTTTTTTTTTTGCAAATTTGCGGAGCATCTTTATTAAAGTGAACACACTAGGACAAATGCGGAGATTTGATTAAAATCGTCGTTTAAAGACACAAAATAACATATGCATTTTCGACTTCCATATAATTTTGAAAAGTGCCGTACGGCTAGCCAATACAGTGTGTCAAGGCTAGTCGTACGTGACTCACGTACGGCTAGAACTTTTGGCTAGCCGTACGGGCCCGTACGGCTAGCCACTTCCTATATATTATGACATGACGTGAATGCTGAAGATGACCCCGTAGGGAAAGTCCACCAATAATCGTGGCAGGAATCTGACATGCTCGTATTTATTCATCGAACATGTCATGAAGTAAAGTGAAGCATATCTTGATAAAACTATATATAATCTGTTGATAAGCCAAGGATGGACAAATAAAAATCTTATTACGAACATTAACTACCTAATAGTTTCCGACAGGTAAAAATTTCGGCACTTGGCCGCCATATTGCCAAAATGTTTGACCACGTGATTACGAGATTGACCTTTATGAACCCATGTGCCTCCAATATTTTTATAAATTACTTTTTTTAAAGATATTGAAAAGGGTGATTTACTGACTTTTATATTCAAAAAAATCATATTTATGTGCTAAAAAATTAATGAAAATAAATAAAAACATTATCTTGAAGAAAAATATCGAAATTATGTCAACAAAATGTTCTAAATATAGTACACGACTCTATTCAAATCTGTTCCCGCGAATGACGTCATACAAGGTCTCACGTGGCACCTGAATGTCATGGCCGACTACAAATTGATGTTTTACAGTTAAATAGGCAATTTTAATGACAGTATTAATATTTTGATACTTTAATTGGTATAGAACGATATTAAAATAATTGTTTTATCGTAAAATGCACAAGAATTGATTGGGTCAAGTGTATTTGCAAGTGAAAAACAAGAATTAATCAACTTCTGTTATTCTGGTTAGGTTTCATAACGGGTCTAATCCAAAACTTTAATGCCGCATCAGATGAAAAACAAAAATGTTAAATAGGGGCGTATAAAGTTTTGGAAGCCAGAACTACTACGACGTACCCTCACAGATACAGATACATTGTAATTTCCTTGAAAACATGGTTCTAGAAGTAGATGAAATCTTCAAACAAGTATCAATAATAAAAATATCTTGGACTATTTTACACAGTGTCTGGCCTTTACACATCCTGGACGTTTTACACGTCCTGGACGTTTCAGCCTTTTTCACATACATGCCCTCAACTAGGGCTGGGGCGAGTATCAAAGTACTCGGATAATCACAATGCGAAAAGAAAATCAAGTACGAATATCCGTCAGTCCAGAGATCGTGGATTGCAATTTTATTTGTTTATTTACATTCACTGTTTCTCACACTTTAAAAGTCGAAAAAAAAAAAAATTGAGTATGAATTATGCAATGTGTACCTAAATAAATTTACCGATTAAAGACAGGAAGCAAACAAACTAGTGCCTTGATGCTGAGCTAGAAAGGCGTTAGTTTTCGAAAATGGAATCACTATCTTAATTGAACACTATGTTTTTACATGAAAATAAATATCCCTATATATAGATTGATAATAACATGACATTTATAGATGGTTATATTTTTAATTATTCAAAATTTGCAACACTTAAGTTGATAATTACGTCAGTGTGACATTACACATCCTGTCTGCAATAATGGCTGTAAAGGAGTCATGCCAATATAAAATTTCACCAGCAAAATTTACTTCCAATATTTGGAAATACTTTTAGTATTTCAATTGAAAAAAAGAAAAAAGCGGTTTGTAAAACATGCCATAGCGAATTGAATTATACTGGTGGTGCAACAAACTTGTCGTAAGATACTCAAGCAAGGAATAAAAACAAAAACCTAGTACATTTGAATATGTGTTTAACATTAAGTATTGAACAAATGTTCATGTTTGTATGGGTGTCTTGATAACAAAAGAGTCATGGTTTAATTAAGACCCCTAAGGGTCTATCTATCTATCTATCTATCTATCCATCCATCTTCCATTTATGTCAAACCCCTTGCGGGGACGTAGACATGACTATAGACTAGTCAATTCAGAGAAAGCTATGAGATATAAAGGAATCCGGGAACCATACCCTAGCTCTTATTGAATAGACCCCTTGGTTCTTTTGCATGCCCAGTGTATAGCACTTATACATGCGAGGATTACCTGGATTTCTTACCAGTACACCTCTAGTTAGGCAGGATACACTGAAAGTGTCTCTGAAAAATCCCAAGGGTGTTACCCAGGATCGAACCCGGGACCTTAGGAGTGACAGCCAGTGGTCTAACCAACTGAGCTATTGCGCCACCTATCAAGGTGAAGGTCACCATTATTAAAAATAGAAGAGTGGTTTCTACAGGTGTAGCGATTCATCGATGCATCGATACATTGCGATCTGCCCTGTCCTCGATGTATGCATCGTAATGAATTTATAAATTCCAATATATCAGGATGCAATACATATTTCACCACCCGATGCATCGATATAGCGGGAAAGTATCGCAATACACTAATAGTTATGGTATAATGAAAAATACCTTTAATCCTTTAAGTAAAAAGTAAAAATCCTTAAGTAATAAGTAATGTAAATTGCTGAAAGATCAAAACTTGAACAGAAGTTATAATAACAAGGTTTTGTTATTGTAATAGTTTTATATTACATTATTCGTAATTATACTGTGAACAAATGACCAAGTTTTATATAGATAAAGTCTGAAAGTCAGTATTGTGATACGTATTGCATCGAAACATAAGAATCGAAATATGCATCGCATTTAATCAAAGTATGCAATACATATCGTGAATCGCATCGTTTTCAAATACAAGTATCGTGACATGTATTGTGACAGAAAAAAATGGCAATGCACAGCCCTAATGGTTTCCGGACAATAACTAGAGTTAGAATGAGATATTGTAATCAGACTTTGTGTAGTCTAGAGAAAGCTTATATGAAGACCATGGTTGATATTGCATTTGGACCCCCTGGGGTCAAGGTCACCGTTATTGTTATTGTTTCCGTACAATAACTTGAATTAGGAATGTGATATAGTAATCAAACTTAGTGTATAGCAAGCATATATGAAGACCCTGTTTGGTATTGCATTTGGACCGCCTGGGGTCAAGGTTAAGGTCACCATTACTAAAAATAGAAAAATGGTTTCTAGACAATAACTAGAGTTAGGAATCAAACTTGGTGTATAGGAAGCTTATATGAAGACCCCGGTTGGGATTTCAATTAATTGAAATAATTCTTTGTACAAAGTTTATACTTCATTTACTATATAATATGTTGAGTTCAAATTTTTCTTCAGACCACTTATTTTTCAAAAAGTCAAAGATGTTGGTTGGGGGTATTAATCGCCTTCAGTGATAGGTCTAGTTTTTAGTAGTTTTGGTATATTTGGGCAATATTTGGGCATTTCGTGCTGCCCGCTTACACTCCTAATTGGTGTGGTTGTTGGTCATATTAACTAGTAAATATCCCCTGTATATTTTGAGGATCTTAAGTCAAAGGTCAAGATATAGAATTACAATTTGTAGGTACTTAAGTTATGTTTGGTTCTTATCTTTGTCTTAAATGTTGTTTAAATCACATGGTTAACAGAACAAATGTTTTCTAAATAATTAATTATTGTGTCATAAAATAACTGACATAAACAGTATCTATTAGTATTATGCTGATAGATTATTTAATAGTGAACCTAGAAAAATTTTTTTAATAGCCGGCAAAGTTTACCTGTGCTGACTTTTAACCGTCTCTCTCGAGGATTTAACTCGGGCTGTTGTGCTGGAGTATGTGGTATCCATCATAATAATTTAAGACTCTTTCCTGACTATAGTATCATTTAAAAAACCTTAAAGACTCAGTCTCTACAATCACACTTGTATGTTGCATGTAAGTTGAGGAGACTGGCTGATGCATTGGTCTGATGTATTTCCACCAAGACAAATGTCATATTCTTAGAATTACCCAGAAAA